TTTAGGGTAACCCTGAAACTCCCTGAACCTGAAATGTTGTCAGAAGCGAGATAATACACCACAGCATAGTTTCGGGTTAAGGGCTTAGCTTGCTTGGAAGCCCGCGCGCAGCCAGGGGGGTTTGGGGTTGAGAAGGTTTCAGGTTTGGGGTTTAGGGTTTGAGACGAAGGATTTCAGGGCTAGGGTTTAGGGCTTTCGGGCTTTACGGGTTTAGGGGTTTAGGGTTTCCCAGAATCATAGTTTCCAACATGGATCCTGCTTTCTGTGAGTTATAAGGTCCCCTAAACCCTAAACCCTAAAGCCTCAACCCTAAACCCCGTTCTACGGGTGGCGGGCTTGTTGTCGTCTTATCCCATGGCTGTCTATCGATGTAGACATATAGACAGTAGAAGCCGAAAGGGCGTGATGGCAGGATCATCATAAGGGCTCTGGAGGTACATTCACCCTAAAACCTGCAATCCGAGATTCGAATCCGAAGCCAGAATCCCAAATCTAATCTCCTGATCCCTAACCATTTCTCCCTGAGCCCACATCCGTAAAGATCCTTAAGCCCGACACCTGAATCCAAAAATAGTATTCCTGAACGCAGCTCCCTAAGATTGCACGTGGGATTTTTTTTAAGTATAATATGTTCTACGCAAGAGGAGCCTCGCATAATCCCTTTGCACTCCAGATACCCCCAGGGCCCCGTACGGGCTCCCATGGGCTCCTATTTGCAAGACCCTTCAATCCTAGTCAGGGTATTGTAGAAGCCTGAACACTTACCAATATTAGGGTCTTAGATGCCTCGTGAAATTCTTCTAAAGGCTACCTTAAAGGGACCTCAAAATGATATTTGTGAGTTTACATGCCCCTACATTAGGGCTCGAAGCTTGGAGCCAGGTCCCAAGTGACAGTGGAAACCATCGACTGCAGCTGATGTGTATCTTCAGGCTTTAGTTTAGGGCTTGGCGCTTAGGACATATGGGGAGGAATTCTGAGCAAATATGTAGTGATCATGCAGGCATTTTGTATGCTCAGTATGAGTTGTGTACAGAAAGGTTGCACAGGAAGATTATGAGCACCCTAGACCCTGAACTCTAAGCCTTAACATGTGTAAGTTATGGACGCTTGGGCTGTTCTTTTCTGGGCTTGTCGTCGTTGTTAGACCGATCAGATAGGGGAATGGCAATGAACTCTATAGAGGACTTGCTGACACGAATCTCTAAGAATCCTTACGTGTACTTATAATAATTATGACCACTCAATCACCCCTGTGATCCCGGACATTGACATACTTACTATAAGTTCCCCCTGACCCTCCAAGCGGGGGGAAACCCTGATGATCTTAAAGCCCTTTTCTTGTATCCGCAGCTCGCGAAGGGTATGCCTCGCTTAAGAAAATCTCGGAGTTTAGGGGTTTAGTGCTTAGGCTTGGGTTTAGGGTAAAGTTTAGGGTTTAGGATTTAGGGTTCAGGGTTTAGGGTAAAGTTTAGGGCTTAGGCTTTAGGGTTCAGGGTTTAGGGCTTAGGGTTTAGGATTTAGGGTTTAGGGATTGAATTCACGGTTCAGGGTTTAGGGGACTCTGTCTGTCTACTGAGGGGGACGAGAGAGTTTCAATGACGAGTGTGCATGGAGTCAGAGTTTCAGGTACAGGTTCGTATTTGAGGCAGGATTTTGGGAGAGATACCTTACATTTTGTGTTCTTTGCTGCCCATAATGCTAGCGTCGGATGTTCAAGGAAACATAAATGTGTGGATCAGCCTGACCTTTGCCTTAATCCGAAAGGCTCAGCCCCAAAAAGGAAGGGTTTTTCCAAACTTTGACTAGCATTTTTGGGCCGTCTGGGGATTTAGTTCCATGGGGTCAGGAACACGAAGCTGGGGCATGCTGGGAGGTTCATGGGACTTAGTCAAGGCATTTTGCTGGGCCCTACCCCGGCTGAACTGATGGTCTCCCAACTGGCCTGTAAAATGTTACCGCCAAGTAGAAACGGGCTATAATGGCGCTACTCCCATTTACGAAGTCCCACGAAGACTTCCTAGTTCTTGGTAGGGAGTATAAGGGAACATAATGATTCTATGACACCTAAATCATATATTCCCGTAGTCCCTACTAAGTCCCACGAAGATCCCAGCTAGGGGACTGCCGAGCAGACCTTGGCTGAATGTGCAGCGGTGCAAAAACGACCCGGGTAGAGGGATTAGGGTTTAGGGTGTATGGTTGACCGGGATCTGCGTTTGACCGTGAGATTTAGGGTTTGGATGCTTTTATTCCTGGCGTAGGATTGAGGTGTGTGAAGGCTTTCATGAAACGGTACGGGGGAGCTCTAAACCCTAAACCCTGAACCTTAATGATGAGCAAGGGGAATCAGGGCCCTTCTAAATGGAATTGACGCAGAGCCCCAGGAAGAAGGAAAGGAAATTTGACTGAAGTTTGGGTTTGTCAGAATAAAAACTTTAGGACTCCGCGGAATTTTCTTGTAAAATTCCGCGTGCAACCTTGATTGAAGATGAAAAATATTGCCTTTTTATGAGTGCAAAAATGCAAAACCAATGGTTTTGGCACAATGCCAATGAGAAGTGCTACGTCGCACCCTCAGAAAGTGCGAAGGTGCGTGGCCAGATTTAGACGCCCTTCAAAAGCACTGCGTTTTACAGGTCGAAAAGGATGTAGCAAACGAAGCGCAGCGCTGATAGTCAGGCTTTTCTCTGTGTTCGCACGATCAGAAGCTGTATATGACATGCATTGTGTCCCACTACGCGCGGTGTTTTTGCATCAGGGTTGCCTGAAAGGACATAGACTTCGTCCCGCTGGACGCAGTGTTTCCGGTACTTGGATGCACTTGTAACACAAACGTTTTTCATGGCTTGGGCATGGATGGTCTAGTAATGGGACGCTCTCGAATATTGACGTTGTTATAGTTTGGGCATGTATGCTCTGCTAATGGGATGCTCTCGAACATGAACATCATTATGGTTTGGGCAGGGATGCTTTGGTAATTGGATGCTGTTGAACATGAATGCGGTGTTTGTGCTGAGGGTTCCCGAAATGCAGCATTTTGCAGATTAAGATGGCTGTCGCTGAAGCGAACGTAATTGCCCCCCACCCCGCCCTCCCAAATTTCGAAGCCGAGCCAAACTTGACGCGTTCGACAAGACCTGGGCTGTGGGAGAACCCTAGGCGTTGGGCGAACCCTAAACCCCAAACCCCTAAACCCTAAACCCCCAAACGCTAAACCTCAAATTGCTGTTGGTGGAGCAAGTTCAGTCTGCAGGCTTGTTTGTTTACAGGTGAAGGCTTGACCCAGCTTCGAAAACCGCCACTAAATAGGGTTTCAGTATATTCCACTGCAATACCATTCTTTGCAACCCTGAATCCTAAGTTTTCTCAATGTAGACGCTTGAGCAATGACAGGTATTCTTCCTTCATGAGCCACAAATACCCTTAATACAATGCACCCCAAAACCCTCTTCCATTGGGAGGCCTCTACATACCATCCCTGCATAACACCTGTCTGACCCTGATGTCACTTGAGCTACAGTCTAAACTCCTTAAAGGGGATTATAAAGGGGATTATATAGGGAGTAGTACAGGGGTTATTAAGGGGGATACTAGGAGTTTAGACAATGGTACATTTGATCTTCCATGATTCGAACCGAAGATGGCGCCTGCATTCAGCGTAGTGGGCGAATCCTTCAATTTCCAAGTGGTCGCCCTCATGGACTTCTAGAGTTTAGGGTTTAGGGTTTAGGGTGGGGTTTGAATTAAAAATCCTAAACCCTCAACCCTAAACCCTGAACCTCGCGCCCCTTTCTTCCCGATGCCTTTTTCTGATGGCTCGAGCAAGCAACTGGCCTGAACTTTCCTGTGGCGGTTTAGTAGGGAGTAAGGGAATCTAGGGTTTACGGTTTGAGGTTTAGAGCTAGTAGGGAATAAAGGAATGCACTATATAGGGACTACATAGGGTTCTATTCCCATATACCCAAGTAACCACCAGTAAGTTAAGCCTTATTATCTTTACAGACGAAGAAGGACTGTGTGATGACAGTTTTCTAGCGTTCTGGTGAGGATCCGGGTCTAGGGCTGGGCCTTTAACCTCCAACCCAAAATCACACGCTCCTACCGCCAGTGTTTCTTGGCGTTTCGGGCGTTCATCTCTTGATCGCCTCCCTTCCATATTAAACACGTCCAGCGAGTAACCCTAGACCTTAAACCCTAAACCTTAAACCCTAAACCTTAAACCCTAAACCTGAAACCCTAAACCTTAAACCCTAAACCCTAAACTCTAAACCCTAAGCCCGAGTAACGTTAATCCACGGCCCTGGCCTGCTGTCAACTGGGTTGCTGTTCAGGAACTTAAATAAGTAATTAGTTACCATATTTTGGGCAGAAAGGGTTTAGGGTTTAGGGTTTAAGTTACCATAATATATGGGTATATAGTAAGTAACGGTAAATAGTAGGGGGTCCTTATTATAGTCACTTTATTTGAGTTCCTACCACGCCTTCTTGGCATGCATGGGGGGACCCCAAGCCAAGCACCCCAAACCCCAGTTTGGAGAACAAAACTACCTGTACAGCATAATCCGTTTGTAGCCCCTATATCACCCTGTAGGGTCTCCAAACCCTAAACCCTAAACTTTAGCTGCTTGACCCTAGACCTTAAACCCTAAACCCCTAAACCCTAAACAAGGGGGCCCCCCTATTTGGAGAAGCCATGCCGACGCAACCAACTGTTGAACAAAGCTCGGTGGATGCTTGGCATCTAAAATTTCAGTGACTTAGGGTTTAGGGGGTAGGATTAGGGTTCAGGGTTTAGGGTTTAGGAATTGAGGGCCTAGGGTTGAGGCTTTTGGAAGCCCTGACCTTGGTATTGCTCCGCCTGTAAGAGTCCAATTGCAATAGTGTTATACCCCTATAGTAAGGGGTTTCAGTATATACCCGACTGAAAAGGCTAGTCATTGCCTAGGCCTATGCCTAGAGGCTCAGTTTCCCCTAAACCCGAAACCCCAAACCCTAGACCCACAGCCCCAAGGCGAGGTCGTCTGTCCTTTTCGTTTGGGGTTTGGGGTTTCAAGGTTGCATGGACGCTTTTAGAGGGTAATGTGGACCCCTGATTAGTAAACCCCTTCCTTTTAAGGGCCTTAATATTAGGATCCCCATTATAATCCCTATTCAAGGGAGGGGGTTTAGTAATCAGGGGTCTACCCTGAAAGCTAAACCCTACTACTTTAGTGGTTTCCATTTGCTTTTTCCATTATCCCTATATCGCCCCTAAACCCTAAACCAGCCCTTATTTTATACCTGTAAGGTTGGGGCTTGGGATCCAGGATTAGGTCAAGAGCCATCCTACAGGGTGGAGGTTTATGTTGGGGTTACATTAGGTTTAGGGTTTATAGGGTTTAGAGTTTAGGGAAAATAAAATGGAAACTACTATTAAGGGTTGAGGGTTTAGGGTTTAAGGTTTAGTTTTCCCCAAATTAAGGGTAGCTTATATAATGGAGAAGCAAATAGGAAAGAAATTGGAAAATGAAATGGAACTGGCGGAATATAGGGGCTTATACTATAGCATAATTCATATTGCCTGTAGTAAGAAATGATTTTCCCTACACGGAATCAAATAGTCTCCTTCACTTCATTTTGCTATGGCCATGACACCACGAGGCTGGTACAGTGAAGGTAAAGAAGCGCCATTGTTGTGCTTGTTAGTGCCTCAGATCGTACCCCTACAAGGTTCCCCCCAACATGGCCGCGATATAGCCCTTTCATGAGCCAATGTAGGTACCTGGGGTCACCTAAAAGGATCCCCGAGACCAGGGGTCGGGGCTTAGGGGTGCAAGCTTGCAACCCTTGGAAATGTCGGCGCTTGTACGAGGCTAGCTTGTGCTTATTGAGTAGGATTATATCAGCCTTCTAGGTGTCGTACTCTTCTGGAAAAGT